AAATATTATCAAGTAGAGGTGAATATTTTGATAGTCAAAGAGCTGGCTGCTAGTTTGAACCAGACTGCATCAATGAGTTGTCTGATGAATGAGTAATGCTATACTATTGTAACACTTAGCAATTTTTCTGGTCTTTATGAATCTGGCAGTTTAGCAGCTTGACAGTTGGCATTGACATACTAAAAATTATTTTTAAACTTGACATTGGTATCCTGTGGCTTGGTTTTAGGTTTTTATCTGTAAGACATTTTAAAATGGTAATTTTGAAGTCTTATTTCAAAAAGTCATTTAACTAACTCATATTAACAATTTCGAAAAGATTTAAAGCATATATCTGTGAAAGAAGTAATTCACGATTATACACATACCTGTGTTTCTGTGCTGAAAAATTTTAATAAATGAGGTACAGCTATCTACTTATTCACAAATGAACTGAAGAAAAATGCCTTTTAATAAAGAATTGAGTAAGTCATAGATTCGTAGAATCATAGAGTATCTCAAGTTGAAAAGGACTCATAAGGGCCATCATGCACAACTCCCTGCTCCTCACAGGACTACCTAAAACTAGTTGATATGATTAAGAGTGTTGTTGAGATGCTTCTTGAACTCTGACGGGCTTGGTGCCATGACCACTTCCCTTGGTTGCCTGTTCCAGTGACCGGCTGCCCTCTCAGTGAAGAACCTTTTCTTATTGTCCAATCTGAACTTCACCTGACACAGCTTCATTCCATTTCCTCATGTTCTGCCTCAGCACCTCCCCCTTTGCTGCCCCCCTTGAGGAAGTTGTAGACTGCAGTGAGGTCACCCATCAGCCTCCTCTTCTCCAAGCTGAACAAATCAAGTGACATCAGCCGCTTCTTCTGTCTTGCTCTCAAGGCCTTTTGCTATCTTAGTCGCCCTCCTCTGGATACACTCTAATAGTTTGATGTCTGTGTATTGAGGTGCCCAAGACTGCACACAGTACTCAAGAGGTGGCCACACCAGTGTAGTGTAGATTGAGACAATCTCCTCCCTCAACCAGCTAGCTATGCTTTACTTGATGCACCCCAGGACATGATTGACCCCTTTGGCTGCAAGGGCACACTGTTGACTCATGTTCAACTTGCCATCGACCCAAACCCCCAGATCTCTCTGTGAAGGGCTGCTCTCCAACCTCAATAAATAACAGTTTCAGTGATATTTTTAATAAGATATGCTAAATAATGTATGCCCGTGGTTCATTTAGAACCCTCTAAAGCTGCAATTTTCTTTAATTGATAGGACTTACAAAATGTGACTCAAAATGTCAATATGTCATTTTATGATGATTTCTAAAATATCACTCAAGTTTTTAACTGTGTCTATTCTGTTGCTAATTATAAAGAGGTAAGGAAATGTCTACAAATGACATAAGAAAGAAACTTTATGTCTATGAATTTTATAGTTTAAGTCACAGCTATGTTTTTATCAGTTCTGTTGCAATAGTAATGCAGTAAAATGCTCTTTCAAATGAAGACCTTTCAGAATAAAGTTGAATAACCAATTCTGATCATTTGAATTCAGAGTCTAAATTAATTTTGAAAGGTTAGATGGGTTTTAAATGTGTGTGTGTGGGTTTTTATTATCCAATAAACACTTTTCGCTTACATAAATATTAATTTTCATATAAAAAAAAAGGCATAGAGAATACAGAACATTGCACTCTGGAAGGCATTTGTGTGGGAAGGAGAGGAAAGTCCAGAAAAATGATTGAATGTTCAAAAGATATCTAAACTGATTTAAGTAAGGAAGTTTTCTATGATACTGTTTCTGTTCTTACTCCTTATTTTTAGTCTTATTGTTACTTCAATATTTTCTTAGCAAGGCTTGCATCTCACTTGTAGCAAGATCTCATGTATACAAAACATAGTTTACCAAAATTATCAGATTGTTATTTTTGGCTAAATGAGTCTTTATACTTTGAAGATAAAATGTAAGATTTTTCATTGACTGCCATGATTTCTCAGTAATTCTTTTGATTTTTACATGCATTAACTTGATGAGTAAGTTTATCTGTTTCATCTAAGTTAAACATCTATATAGTATATGTTTTTTGTCAAATGATGCCAGCCATATGTGTTTGCATGTGTATTTTATAGAACATGCATATTCTCTGAATTCAGAACATTTAATTCCTGACTACTGAGAGATCCAAATGTTTGTAGCTTTATACTTCAAGTAGTCATTTATGCTGATACAAACAGCACTTTGCAGTTGCTTACAACTTGAAAATAACCATGAGGAACCATGTTCCCTTTCCGTTTCTGTGCTAACTTGGGTTCTTGTGAACCTCTTAGAAAGGCTGTTAGGAATAGATTAAAAAGCTATGTACCCCTCTGTAGCAGCCTGAGTTCCTTTGGCTTTCATTGGTAATGTGCAGCGTATAAATGTAGATCTTTGCATGTGATTGCCAGAAATAATCGACTAAATAAGCCTTCCATGTCAGCTATAAGAGTTTTAGAGCTCAAAGCTTATTCAAGGGCTCTGCAGCAGAAATACTAAGTAACATTGTGATCACTATTAGCATGTTACTTAATGTCAGTATAAATAGAGTGGGAGATGGTGTCATTGAGAATATTGTCAAACAGAATCTAACAGCAAGCGGGTAGTACCTAAGAGTTATGGCTGACAGGATTTTGCAGATCTTGCTGGTTACTCTAGTTGGGAAAAGCCTGCTTGCTGGCTTTTGGGAATACAGGTAGAACCCATATGCTTTGTTAACTAGAACTCGTACTGTTACATTTTGATTCTTAAAAAAAATAAAATAATAATCCCACATTGTTATGACAAAATATGAACAAGTAGAAAGCCTGAAAAAAAACAGATGATGGAAACCCTCATCTTTTGTTTTTTTCATCATTCATTCAGACTCTGAAACTGATGGTGACCACAGTGAAAATGAATAGCTCAGTTTCTGTACTGAAGAATTGGCACAGGATAAGTCAAGTTAATTTGTTTTTCTTTGCTGTACTAGATGATGATCTGAAGTGCTTGAAAGCTATACAGTCTAAAAAAAAAAAAAAGGAAAAATAGTAATTCTAGATATTATTGGAGAACAAATCTTGATTCTCCCTTCTGATTTATTATAGTTTTAAAATAATTTTTAATTATTGTAGTCTTTGCACGTATTATGCACCAGGAATTTCAACTCTGATCCTCGGCTTTATCTATAAATTATTTTATTTTCATTTCCTTTACCCTTTTGCCCCTCAGAGGCACAATGGACCATTCAGTATGCACTGTATAAAAAGCTAGGAATTCAGGGAGGAATCACAAAAATGTCCCGATTTCATGAACAAAAAGAAATATTTAGGAGTGTAGATCTATTCCATACCCAACTCTCCATCATTTAAAATAGAACACATAAATGTCACAGTCCAGAAAGTAAGATATAAAATTTATTCAAAAGACCTGCCCTCCTATGAGAAATTTGTGTGCCAAGAAATCATGAAACTCAATGAGGCTTTGGTAGACAAGGTTATGTTACGTTTATTTATGTCAAAATTTACTTTGCATATGTAAAAGTAGAGATAACTACCTGTTTGAATGTCTTCAGCTGCTTTCTTTCCACTTTTTAGTCAAATTAATGGTTCATGTGATATTTAAATTATTCTGCTTCTACCTTTCTCCAAATTCTTCCTTTGATTTCAGTCCCTTATTAGCTATTTTGCCTCTTTTAATAGTCTCCTTTTTTTAATGTCCAGCCACAGTATTCCTCTTCTTTTGATTCAAGTGAATCTTTTTTTTCCTTCAAATGTTTCTCTAAAACTCACTTTCACTGACAGGCTTTCAACTGTGATTGAGCAGAGCAGCTCTACTCCTACTCCTTTCTGTTGTCTTAATTAGCTATTCAGTTATTATCCTAATTAGACAGTAAGTTCCTTGTGTCATGCACCTTCCCAAGCTATTTGTTTTAAATCATGCACTTATAGTATGCAAGTGATACCTAATTATAAAAGCGGTAAGTAAAGATTATAAAATGGATACAAATTAAATGCTGTTCTTCTGATCACTTAGGCAGAAATATTTTAATTATTATTGCTGCAGCTTTCATAGCCACACTACAGCACGCAAAAAAACACTTGATGAATTTTTAATTTTTTATGCCAATGAATTCTATGGATGACACATTTTGTTGTTTTTATTTTTTAATTATATGTTTAATACCCAACAGTACTAATAATCAACATCTCTTTAAAGCTTTCTATGAAATCTTATGAAGCAGGGAAGAATACAACAAGCCTGCTAAATCCTTTGGCAACATATTAAATAGTATTCCAGACTTAGCAGGAAATTTCCATGCTCTGCATTTTTTGAAATTTTGTTAATAAACATTTAAAATATAGGTTATTAACTGATGATGAGTGAACGTTGGAAGGTCCATCTGGCAACGAAACCTCCTGAATTTATTTGCCGTCTGTAAAAATCCTGATTCAGAGAATATAATCTTGAGAGTGGCTAGTATAATTTTATTAATGCTTCCTAGTTCAGGACAGCATTTAAAGCTATGAGGTTTTTTCTGCAGTTTTTTTATAGTTATAGGAAGTGAGAGAGATCTTTAGAAAAGAAATGTTCAATATTTTAAAATTTATATCCCAGAAATGCTAACTCAGTTTATGTGATTCTCTGCACAGTTTTTTCTTGGGCTTCTTCTTTGGAAACTTTCATAGAGCCAAAGTACAGCTCCAAATCAGCTCATACTAGGTGTCTCTGCTAGCCTTACCCTTGTTTGGCCTGGCACTAAAGTGTCACCTACAAGGAGAAAAAGTAAAAAAGAAAACCAGCCAAAACTCTCTGCACATTAATGGTCAGAAAATATCCTATTCAATTCACCTGAATAGAATTTTATTTCTCTATATGTCTATGTTTTTGGGTACTCTGTGCACAGAAGAGAAGAGCTGGGTTTGCTATGGCAGAGGCAAGGGTGATGCTTCACTTGATTTAAGTGCAGCTGCACTAGTAATTGATATTCTGTTCATCAGCTGAAGGAGCTTGTGGAGGGACACTACGTGGGACAAGCGGAACTATTTCAAGTCCTCACTTCCCCTCCGAGTATGAAAATAATGCTGATTGCACCTGGACCATATTGGCTGAACCAGGAGATACCATTGCTTTGGTCTTTACTGACTTCCAGTTAGAGGAAGGATATGACTTCTTAGAGATCAGTGGAACAGAAGCACCATCAATATGGTAAGTCAGAGATCTTGCAAAGATCTCAGTTTCTGTTCTTCTTTTTTTTGCTAACTATTTTGAATACATAGTAAAGGATAGTTAAGATATTAAAGATATTTTCTACCTGTTACTAATACCCATTTTGTTGTGGATTTTTCTTTGATCCCTTTTACCCTCCAGAACTTAAAAATCCCCAAAAAACGATAGTTTTCTTCTGCTTCTTTCGAAATCTTGATCCCTCCCCTTATTTTCCTCTGTCTTTGAGGGTTATGTTTGTAAGGTATCATAGCAGTGAGCATTTACTGATGTTACTTATTTGAACTTGGTATGTGAGCACTTTCTGATGTTGTGTCTCGAATGGCTTATTATGATATTGTACTCCAACAATTTAAGTAGTGAGCAAAACAGCCTTATAGTAAAACAGGAGTATATAGAGAACAATTAGATACCATCTTATTCTAAACAGGCTATAATTCAGTTTTACTACATGTACTTATGTATACATGTATTATTACCTTACATTGACTGATGTTAAAACTTTGCTTAGCAATACTAGGGCTTAGTAATTATAATACTAAATCTACATTTTCCGTACTAAGTAGAAGATGATATTTCTGTCTATAGGAATGGATTAAATTGCTGAACAGTTTGTATTAGGTTTTCTCCACATGCTACATATGCAGGTTTTTAATTTTTCTAATCTCTGGGAATGTCTTGTGCTTGACATATGTGCCATTTCTATAAAATGCAGCCTAGAAAAGAATACAGATCTGCTGCTCACAGCTGACTGATGGTTATTATCTTCAGAATGCCTTTCTGGAGATCGGGAGCAATCTCATTATCATTATAATTTCATGACAGGCTAGGTAGCAGTCAAGTTTTACCTCAAGTTCTAGGTAGCATCTGATCTGTTGAAAAACTCTATCGGATTAAAATCTGTGACAACCATGCTTGGCAAATATGTAAAAAAACTTTGGTTTGAAGATACTTCTGGATCTATATCACAATCTATATTACTCTGTAACATTTCCATATGACCAAAAGTTGTGTAACAGCAGTCATTGAAGCAACGTTGTATCAAATGATGAGCTTATGACTAACTTTCTGAAATAAAATATGTTAGTACCCTGTTTACCTCTCATGCAGATATGCATGGCAGTAATCAATGCTAATGTTTTCTTGTTAGGGGTTCTAAGGACCAGAAGCTGAAATCTTGAAAGGGAAGATCTAAGGAGACTTGCTTTGGAACATAAAAATCTGTCAATTTAATTTTGTGTATGAGACTGTACTAGATACCTAAAAACACATTTGCAACTTTGCTGCAAGAAAGTAATGTTACTGAAATTGAACATGCAAATATGGAAAAAACTTTACATTTACAGATGGTTACATACACATATCTGTTGCCCAGAAGATTTCCGATAGATTATGTAGATGAAAATGAGCAGAAAGCAATGGAAACATATTCTGCATTAATCTCATATGGTATCAATCAGTGTTATTCTGGAAATCAGAGAAATCTAAAGAATTTTGCTTATCCTAAAATTCAATCTAAACATTTTTCTTGTTTCTTGTTTTTTAGCATTAGAGATGTTTTTATAGTACTAATCTCTGATCACTAAACACTAAGGATTTATTATATGTTCCTAGGATCACTGATAAAAGTTTGGAGAAGCTGTGGGACATTTTATAAGAACTGTTTATAGAATGAGTGGTTAATTTCGAATGAAGCTACAGATTCATCTATATTTAAGCCAGAACAGTTACCATAGCAACATTAGAGCCATGCTAAATGTAGTGCATGCTGTAATCTGCTAAAATCAGCTGTGTGTTTAAATGTGAAGTTGTTCTATTCTTAAAACTAATGGTCTAGAAGTGTATCTTTTTAAAATGTGACTTTTTTAAACTACTCCCTTTTATTGTATCTGGCATCATGTCAACTACTTTATATAGTAATTCTGTGTTAGAAGACACATAATCCATTAGCACAGACTGGTAATTATGATTGTTTTTTTCGCTTAAAGGAGTATATGCTCTAAAATAAGCCAAATATTTTCCTAGTGAAATGCATAGAAAGACAGATATGTGAGCACTGCAAAGACCAGAAAGAGAATGAAAATAAAGAAAATAGTTTCAGACTGATGATTCTTTTGTGATTTTAGTGTATGGTGCAATAGGTCTGGATTACCATCTCCAGATATATCAACAAGGTTAGAAGGAGTTCCAGCATGATCACAATAAGAACTGGGTGGACTGTTTTAAGTAAAGCAATGTAAATGTTAGAACAAGTAGAATCTAAATGCTGAGGAAAAATAATCTGATATATCAGTAAAATATGTATGTAAGACATTTTATTATAGTAATTATAGTGATTACATTTTATGCCATATATTTATTATATAATAGGAATATTAATTATATCATCTTATATGCCTAACATTTGTGTTTAAACCTTCCTTAATTAACCTTCAGTTATTTTCCACATTATATTGCTGATTGTTCGTTTTCTAGTGTGTTGAATAGGAAGGATTTGTTCACCTTTTCTTATTTTTAAAAGATTATTTGAAAATACAGCTTGGGAGTTGAAAGCAATTCAAGGTTGGGGTTTTTTTATTCCCAATTAAATAGCAGTTATATCACTCTGGATCTTGAATGGATGTGCACACATAGATGACTAAATTTTTAATCCTCCTTTGAATCAATATGAATGTCAGCAGATATTCAAAGATGAATACCAGTGTTTGGGAAAAGGAACATGAAGCAGATGGAAAAGGCTTCTTAGTCTGTGAAGCAAGTAAAAGTATTATGAGACTGTGGATAAAATAAAATTTTCTAAATTTGAATCACTTGCTTAATTTTCTATTATGTAAAGGAATTTTACATGTAATACATGTTTATCTTATTTGGTAAGCTCTTGCTCACAATGCCAAGAGCAGTGCTTCGCGGAACATAACAGAAAGACTGCCTCTTTGCTATGTCTGCAGTCCATCTCTGTGTCCACTAAATAGTTGGATTTTTTGATTCTAAAGGGCATCTCTGTTGTTATTAGAACTAAAAAAAAAAAAGGTTTTTGCATAATTTCTGAACATAATATATAACTTTTTTAATACTTTGAAACATGTTCCTTTAGAATTCAGCTTAATTTATATGGTACTTAAATCAAGGCTTTTAGTTTGAACTGATAATTTTATTATTTACAAGTTAGATAAAACTGAACAATTCACATGGGCATACATAGATCCAACTTGCGCTTTGTTATGTAAACATGGCTTTTCCATAATTTTTGCCAGATTAAAATTTTATGTGCCACAAAAAATATCTTAAACTATTGCAGTATGCATAAAAGGTGATTATGATCTGAGAATATATCTGTAATTATTATTATTTTTACCTTGGAACTTTGGTATTGAATATATTTTCTAAAATGTACACATTTCTAAAAAAATTCTAAAATACATTTTTCCTCTTAACTTACTATACTAATGTTAACTGACAGTGCTTCCATTTAAACCTAAAGTTATTATGCGTCAAATTTTTCTCATTATTAGCCAATACAATGGAATGAACTACACTTCATACTTCTTAGTCCAAATTATTTTTCTAGTACTATTTAAAAATACCTTTAAGATTATTCTGACTTTCTTATAAATCTCTTCAATATCCTAGTGAAAGGCCATAAAAACATATGTTGATGTGAGAGTGATTTGGAAGCAGCAATAATGAATTAGTATGCTCTTGGCATACAGTGTGACATAAGTACCTGGAGTCATCTAAAACTCACTTCTTATTTCTGTGTTAATGAGTAACTCTTGTAATAGCTGAGTCCTAATATGAATTTTTGTTTCTTAGATAAATACACCAGTCCAAGAACTTAGCTATAATTCAAAACTGTAGTATTTCGATATGCAGGTTTCCTTTCCTGTTTATAGAGATCTAACTTACTCTTACCACCATCATTGTGAGAAGTCTGTAGCATAGTAATGCATGAAATTATGGAGTGAAATTATCAACTTTTTGATAGACACCTCTGGCAGTAAATCCATGCATAATGGTCTGAATATTTGACAGAGAATTACATAATTATACAGCTAAAGAGCACCATCTATTGACTTACTTTGAAGAAACGTATAGCTTGTGGATGTACTTTCAATAAAGTTGTTGTTATACACCAGAAAAGGGCTCGTGGCATAGCCTTGGTGATACAAGGTTCTATATTCTTTTCTTTCTCCATCAAAAAACAAAGAATGTGCCATGGCCATGCAATGAGAGGAAGGCAGTTAGATTCCAGCTTTTTCATTTGAGAACACTATTTTAAAAATTAGTATTTTATTTTTAATTAGTTGCTTATTTTAGCCCCTTTACAGACATGCTGACATCCTTTTTTGTCACCTGTGATACTCTGCAAAGCTGTAAGTTTGTACTGAAGATGCTGATGAAAGGTTCTCTTGCTGTCTACTAGTTTTTGGAAGCTCTTGCTATTTTCTAGGCTTTAACTAGATTTTTTGTTTTACTTGTTTTGGTTAGGAACCTGAATCCGATAAGTATAATTTTCTGTACTTCATAACCTATCTGTCTGACCTGCAGTGAACTTAGTTTCATCTTTTTTTTCAGGAAAAGAAGTTGCATAGTTACGCTCAAATTCTTTCTGATGACTTCTCTGATGTGAAGTTTCCAGTTACTGTATAAAAATCCCATAGTCTATGTGATAGACTATGAAAAATCAGCAATAATGCTGTTTAGCACTTGATTGCTATCTATCAAATATATATATATATATATAGCAACACCAAAACTTTTTATATTAACTTACCATAGAACATAAAACAGTTCTAAAACTCTGAGATATATTGCAAAGACTAAGATACTTTCAAGGTGAGCGAGAAAGTTAGTATATATGTCTGTATGAAGAGCCTTATAAGACTGAAAAATACAGTGATGATGACAGAATATTTGCTATTTTCAATCAATAATTTGTTTATTTACTGGATCAGAAGTTCTGTTCATCAAATATATTTTTGCTGA